TTAAAGAACGTTTTATGCTCCCAAGTCAATGCTTACATTCTGAACATGATGCTGGATCATTCACATCTAGGCTACATATGCTACGTGAATTATAATCTTTTGATTTTGTGATTCTTTATGTGCAATAGGCCTACTTCTGTAATCATTTTGTGACTTATGTGGGGTGATGCAATTCTTTGCTTAAAATCCTTTCAAGAGTGGGTTTGCTCAGTATTCCATGCCGTTCCGCTAATTAAGGCAATAATATCATCAAACCAGGTTTAAAATTCCATATAAAATACTCCTTAACGTGTTCACATTATTAGACCTGGCCTTCCATAATCGTGTGTCGTGTAGATCAGTGAGCCAGCAAGTCATAATTTCGACATTCTATCTCGTAATTTCGATTTAGTAAGTCATAATTTCAATTTTTTATCTCGTAATTATGACTTAAGTATGTCATAATTTCTACTTTTTAAGGCATTTTTTTTCTTACCTGGCGGAAACGGGCTTCCATAGAGAAACGAGCGATCTCTTATGTAAACAGATGCACATGAAAAATAATGCGATCATCAGCAATGGCTCCGTATAAATGAAAACTGCATAATGTTACGGAGTAAAATGTTGATCCGGGAAGTGGTATATGTCTGTGCAAGCTTTGGAGGTATTAATGGACGCGATTTACTGGATTTATGCTTTGATAATCGTACTGAATATTACCCAGATGTAGTTTTTGATAAAAAATTTATTTTCTCACCTTTTTGCCCCCAAATTATGCATTTTTATGAAACCTACCTATATTCAAGTGTTGATAAAAAAAAAGAATGCTTTAAGCTAGAATAAAACGGCTAGAAGCTAGAAAAAATTATATATTTTTTTTGTTTAAAGGTAGAGGCTCTGATCTTTATTTGGTGTATTGCATATTCAAATATTAAAATTTTAGTGAAAATCATCAAAATCGCTGGCGGTGGCTGGCAACTTTAAAAAAAAAATGCTGGCGGGGAAAGAGTGAGTATAACACAGCCAAT